AAATGAATTGTCTTGGAGTTTATTTCAATACATTTTCTCTTGTTTTCTAGTAACTTCTTATAAATATTTTTCTAAAAGACAAATAACTACATGTCAAAAATTCATAAAATATAAAAAATAATATAAAAACCTTCTAGGATTCTACAACCTAAAGATAAAACCACTGAAGCAGCTTCGTGTGAGAATTGTCTTAAACACTAATGCAGAGCAATTTCTGCCTACAGAGTATTAAGATGTTCTTAAAAATTGTTTATACACAACCTATGTTCCATTGTCCCTTCAGTAAACATGTTTACACGTTTCCTCTGTTCCCCACCTCTTATTAACTGATGTGCGTGGTTGGAAAGGGGGAGCAGTGAAGGAGATCTTAAAAATTAAATTTGTCAAAAAAATTAAATCTGTTGCTCTCCAGGTACTTAGGCAAGCACAGAGAGACAAGACATACATATGGGGAGAAATTGGGAAATCACTCAGGCCCCTAATAAGTGCCATGTATGTGTTCCTGTATGTGAAGATACACTAGAAAGCAAGAGGTAAAGAATGACCCTGGATGTCTTTAATTGCCCAACATGCGCTGGACAGTTGATTGTAAAAATGACACCACGAGAAACACGGGTTGCTGGAGGCTAAAACTTGGGTTGTAAGTCCTTAGGATCGTCTGCCGTAAGCAGCATTAGGAAATAATCCAGCTTAGCATGGTTAAATTCTAACCTTTCCTGATTTCCAGATATACAAGTCCAGAGTTCATTTTGTGGGATAATTCAGCATGACCTATGCCTTTTTGTGAACTAAAGAAATAACCAGAGATGGGCCGGCCTGTTAAGTTCCACTGAAAAAATGTGATGCGTTCTGTTGTGTTCTAAATCCTGACATTCAATCGGTACATCTTAAAAAAGCATTTTGAAGGAATGCTGGGGTGGCTCAGTGGTTGAGTGTCTGCCTTTGGCTCAGGTCATGATGAGGGGTCCTGGGATCCCCGCAGGGAGCCTGCTTCTCCCTTTGCCGGTGTCTCTGCCCCTCTCTCTGTATCTCTCGTGAATAAATAAATACAATCTGTTTCTTTTTTTAAAGAAGGCATTTTGAAGAGAAATAGATAAAAACAAGTTAACCTTTTCTACTGAAACATGGGTGCGATAACCATGTTAAGAAATACACAGAAAAATCTTGGAGTTTACCAAAATATTGATATTGCCACTAAGTGGGGAGACAGGAGTGACATGTTTCCTTCTTTCAATGGCCTGTAGGTGATTTTTCTTTTTTTTTTTTTTTTTTTTTTACATATATGAGAGTGGACTACTGTTGTAACTGGGAACAGGTGAGGTTGGTTGAAGACCTTTCCATCAGGGGCCGAGGCTCAGTGGGGAGAGAACTGGCGTCACTGGCCCATGGCCAGGGGCCAGAAGGCGCGCGCCGCCGACCTGCGGGACTGCGGGGCCCCGGGGGCAGCCGCGCGGACCGTGGCGCCGCCCGCGCCTGGCGCTTGCCTGGGTGGCCCCCGCGCTGCGGAGCTCGCAGCCCGCCGCCGCGCTCTCCCGCGGGGGGCCGGTGCCGCCACGCCGAGCCTCTGCGCGCAGGCCTTAAGTCGCCGGCTTCTTTGGTCCGTCCGCAACCACCCGCACGGAGGCCGCGCCGTTTCCCCGATCGCGGTTTCCGCTCAGTAGGAGAGCCGCGGGTGGCGTCCCGGAGCCGGAGGCGACTTCCCCGGGGAGGGCCGGCCCGCGGCCCCGCGCAGCGCGCACGGATGTCGGACCTCCCTTCACCGGTGGAGACCCACGGAGGGCGTCCGAGCGGGGGCCGCGGCGCGCGGCGAGCCAGCCGGTGAGGGGCGGGCGGCCCGGAGGCGGGGAGCGAGCGGGGAGCGGGCGGGGCCGGTAGGGAGCGCAGCGGGCGCCCGGGGAGGGGTGCGCGGCCGGCGGGGAGCGGTGCGCAGCGGGCGCCGGGTAGGTGAGCTCCGGGCGGCGGTCAGGCCGGCGGGGAGCGGCGCGCACGGGCGCCCGGGAGGAAGGGGGTGCGCCCAGCAGGGAGGTGTGCGCCCGGGAGGGGGGAGTGCGCCCGGGAGGAAGGGGGTGCGCCCGGGAGGAAGGGGGTGCGCCCGGGAGGAGGGGGTGCGCCCAGCAGGGAGGTGTGCGCCCGGGAGGGGGGAGTGCGCCCGGGAGGAAGGGGGTGCGCCCGGGAGGAGGGGGTGCGCCCAGCAGGGAGGTGTGCGCCCGGGAGGGGGGAGTGCGCCCGGGAGGAAAGGGGTGCGCCCGGGAGGAAGGGGGTGCGCCCGGGAGGAAGGGGGTGCGCCCGGGAGGAAGGGGGTGCGCCCAGCAGGGAGGTGTGCGCCCGGGAGGGGGGAGTGCGCCCGGGAGGAAAGGGGGTGCGCCCGGGAGGAAGGGGGTGCGCCCGGGAGGAAGGGGGTGCGCCCGGGGGGGTGCGCCCGGGAGGAAGGGGGTGCGCCCTGGGGGGGTGCGCCCGGGAGGAAGGGGGTGCATCCGGGGGGGTGCCCCCAGCAGGGAGGTGTGCGCCCGGGAGGGGGAGGGCGCCCTGGGGGTGTTGCGCGCAGCAGGGAGGTGTGTGCCCGGAGGGGGGATGTGCGCCCTAGGGGGGGGTGTGCCCGGGGTGGGGGGGTACACCCAGCAGGGGTGTTTGCACCCGGGAGGGAGGGGGTGCGCCCTGAGGGGTGTGCGCCCAGCAGGGAGGTGTACGCCCAGGAGGGGAGGGTGCACCCAGCAGGGAGGTGTGGGTCCCGGAGGGGGCTGTGCGCCCGGGAGGGGGGGGTTGCACCCAGCAGGAGTGTGTGGGCCCAGGAGGGGGAGTGCGCCCTGGGTGGGAGGTGTGCGTTCCGGAGGGGCGTGTGCCCGGGGAGGGAGGGTGTGTGCCCCGGAGGGGGGCGGTGTGCGCCCCGGAGGGGGTTGTAGGCCCAGCAGGGAGAGGAGCGCAGAGGTGAGCCGAGGGGGTGGGTGCACGCGGGCCTGGTCTCTGGACTGAGCCGGCCCCCCCCCATCATCACCCCTCACCCTCACCCCCACCTCGCCTCTGTGGGCTGCAGGAGCCTTGGCTCAATTTTAGAATCGCCAATGGCCGGCTCCGTGGGTCAGATCTGCCTGCCTTTCTTTTTTAACATTTTATTTATTTGTTCATGAGAGACAGAGAGAGGCTGAGACACAGGCAGAGGGAGAAGCAGGCTCCCTGCGGGGATCCATATGCGACTGGATCCCAGGCCCCGAGGGTCACACCCTGAGCCAAAGGCAGACCCTCAACCACTGAGCCACCCAGGCGTCCCAGATATGCCTGCTTTTTGCTTGACACCCGAGCCGGCAGCTTCTCTTTGCTTGTGGAATTTCAGACAGCCCTGGAAACAGGTCCGGCTGCATATTTTGAGTGAACGTGTTGTCCATGTGGAGTTAAAAAGGAAAGAAATAAGGAAGGGAAGACGTGCTGCGTTAGCATGAGCCCCAAGTGTCCGGGTGCCTGCTCGTGGTCAGCTCACCCTTACTTAGGTTAGAAAGTGATTGAGGCTGAGCACCTCGTTCAAATAGAATTCTCTTTCCACGTTTCAGAAATAAAATCAAGTGCCTAAACGCGATCGGCAAGAACAGTTTATTATTGTTTTAAATCAGGACACGAAGAACACACCACCTTTTTTACTCTGCTACCTGGCAGTCTTTTTTGTATTTTTCTTTCCAACGTTTCAGGGGAAAGAGGGTGAATAGGAGGCGAAAGGTTTGCTCAGAGCATTCGGGCATTCACACCATCAGGTGTAAATGCTCAGCAGTATTTGGACTGGGAAGAGCAGGCAGGCAGGCAGGCAGGCAACCCAAATTGCTTGACAGCAGTCGGGTGGGTTTTTACCCCCAGGGTAGGAACAGGGGTACAAATGGCTTGCATTTTCATTCCTTGCTTTTGGGTCCTTTCCGTAACTCAAAAAATGCAGAGCTTGTTATTAGGACTCTAGGGAAACACATTACTTAATCCTGCAATTTAAACAAACAAAAACGGCCTCACTTTTCAGTTTGAAATGCACAGCTCAGGTCAGGAGCAAGGTCTGTGCCCTGAAAAGTTCTTGCGTTTCCTCTTCTAAATGTTTAGTTTAGCCAGAAGTAGCATTTACTGAATGCCACATGATCCAGTGTTTGGCATATAGGTTTGCTTTTATTTTCATTCTCTCTTGCATCTGCTTGGATGTGCTACAGATACAAAACGAGGTATTCTTGGGATAGCGAATGTTTTATCCCAAAGAAGACAAAGAGGAGGAAACTTTTTCTCTGGTTGGGGCAGGGTTTTGGTGGCGGTGGTGGTTTTAAAGGGGAAGACACTAAATAGAATTGAGGTCTGCCCTCCGACTGTGTTCTTGCACCCGTGCTGCTAGACTTCATCACTCACTGTCCTGTGTCCCGGATCTCTCAGCAAGGAAGGGGGGGGGGCGGTCAGAGCAAATCATACTCTTGTGGAGGTGTTCAAGTACAGGGGTGCACTTGCTATTTAGAAAGTCTGCAAAAGAGCAATGCTGTAAGAACTTACATCCCAGGCTTCCTGGATCTGCACCGATTTGGTCCGTTATCGTGACTTTTCACTTCTTTGTACCTCAGAATTCACTTTCTAAAATAGGCGTCTTAAGGACTGCTCTCTCTCCTTCAGTGGACTGTACACAACAAAAGAAATGATCTACTTGAAATGCTTTCAAGTCTTTTCAGTGCATTCTTTTCAAAAAGAAAGTGTTTAGTAAGGACTTCATACACGCTTGGCTCTTTAAAAACCACTGTCTCATTATATTCTTGTAACAACCTTATGAGGTAAATACTTGTATTGCCATTTTTACTCAGGGAGAAACTGAAGTTCCAAGGGCTTTATTAACTTACTCACCCAGCTGTTAGAGTGTAGATCCAGGATTAGAAGAGAAAGAAGTCCGTCAACTCTTAAAGCATGCTAGCTTGCCACGCTGCAGCATACACAGAGAGTAGTTTTTAATCATTGAGCGTCTCACATGGAATTATAATCTTCTCTTCTCGCTCTCCTAGGAAAAGCAGAGGATGTTCTCAACGGAGATCATGACAAGGAACAGAAAGATCCTTATTTTGTGGAGACCCCCTATGGTTATCAACTAGACTTGGATTTCCTCAAGTACGTGGATGACATACAGAAAGGAAACACCATCAAAAAACTGAACATCCCGAAGAGGCGGAAGCCATCTGTGCCATGCCCGGAAAGCCGGGCCACGGCCAGTCAGCAAGGTGTGTGGACTTCTACTGAATCCCTCTCATCCTCCAACAGTGATGACAACAAGCAGTGCCCCCACTTCCTCCTAGCCAGAAGCCAAGTGACGTCGACTCCAGTCCCAAGGCCGCCTGCCCCCCTGGAGACCTCACCCACTTTTCTCACCATCCCAGAAAGTCGACAGCTGCCACCACCCTCCCCACAGCTCCCAAAGCACAACCTTCATGTCACCAAGACACTGATGGAGACCCGGAGAAGACTGGAACAGGAGAGAGTCACCATGCAGGTGGCGCCGGGTGAGTTCCGAAGGCCCAGGCTGGCCAGTTTTGGAGGCATGGGCTCTACGAGCTCGTTGTCCTCCTTTCTGGGTTCCGGAAACCACAATCCTGCCATGCACCAACTTCAGAATGGATACCAAGGCAACGGGGATTATGGGGGCTATGTCCCAGCTACTGCCACCACCTCCTCCATGGGGAGCTCCATCCGCCACAGCCCCCTGAGCTCAGGGATCTCCACTCCCGTGACCAACGTGAGCCCCATGCACCTGCAGCACATCCGCGAGCAGATGGCCGTGGCCCTGAAACGCCTGAAGGAACTCGAGGAGCAGGTGCGCACCATCCCCGTGCTCCAGGTGAAGATCTCTGTCCTGCAAGAGGAGAAAAGACAGTTGGCCTCACAGCTGAAAAACCAGAGAGCCACAGCCCAGAACGACGCCTGTGGTGTGAGGAAGCGGTCCTACAGCGCCGGGAACGCGTCCCAGCTGGAACAGCTCTCCAGGGCCCGGCGCGGCGGCGGTGAACTGTACATCGACTACGAGGAGGAGGAGATGGAGAGCGTGGAGCAGAGCGCGCAGAGCATCCGGGAGTTCCGGCAGCTGGCGGCCGACATGCAGGCCCTGGAGCGGAAGATCCAGGACAGCGGCTGCCAGCCCGCCCCCGAGGGCCGGTCCGTGGCTGTGGGCACCGACGACACCATGGACAGCGTGGTCGTGTACCGCAGGGCCTCCGGGTCCCGGCGGGACGCCGCTGTGGGGACGGCCACCGAGATGAGGAGTTGTGCCATCAGCGTGACTGAAGCCATGCTGGGAGTGACCACCGAGGCCGACAAAGAAATAGAGCTACAGCAGCAGACCATCGAAGCCTTGAAGGAAAAGATCTACCGCCTGGAAGTTCAACTTAAGGAAACCACGCATGACCGCGAGATGACTAAACTGAAGCAAGAGCTGCAGGCCGCCGGATCGAGGAAGAAGGTGGACAAGGCCGTGATGGCCCAGCCGCTGGTTGGCGACAAGATGGTGGAGGCCGTGGTGCCCACGAGGGACCAGATGGCAGGCCATCACCTGGACGTGGTGGACGCGTGTGTCGGGACCTCGGTGCAGACACACAGCGTGGGCATCTCCTGCCAGCCCAGCCGGGAGAGTAGGCTCGCTGGGCCCGAGCTGCCCATGAATTGCTGGATCGTTAAGGAACGTGTGGACGTCCGTGACCAGTGCACCAGCCGATCCGTGGAGATGTGTGACAAGAGCGTGGGCGTGGAAACCAGCGTCTGTGAGACAGGGAGCAACACAGAGGAGTCTGTGAATGACCTCTCGCTCCTCAAGACCAACCTGAATCTCAAAGAAGTGCGGTCCATTGGTTGCGGAGACTGTTCTGTTGACGTGACGGTTTGTCCCCCCAAGGAGTGTACCTCCCGCAGCGTGAACACAGAGGCTATAAGCCAGGTAGACGCTGCTGTCATGGCAGTGCCTCAGACCGCAAGCCAGCACACCAGCACGGTCCTGGGACAGGTGAACCAGGCCACCAACACTGAGGTGGCCACCCTTGTGGAATCTTGCACCAACACTTCCGTCAGCACTTTGGACAAGCAGACCAGCACCCAGATGGTGGAGACGCGGACGGTGGCTATAGGAGAAGGCCGGGTTAAGGATGTCAACTCCTCCGCCAAGATGCGGTCCGTTGGGGTTGGAACAGTGCTCTCTGGCAGTGCTGGGTTTGACAGGCCATCGGCTGTGAAGACCAAAGAGTCGGGCGTGGGGCAGATAAATATTAACGACAACTATCTGGTTGGTCTCAAGATGAGGACCATAGCTTGTGGTCCTCCCCAGTTGACCTTGGGGTTGGCAGCCAGCAGGAGGAGCGTAGGTGTTGGGGATGAACCTGTTGGCGAGTTCATGGAGAGCCCCCAGCCCCAGGCTCCTCCTGGAATGATGACCGGCTTGGATCACTACATTGAGCGCGTCCAGAAGTTGCTGGCAGAGCAGCAGACGCTGCTGGCAGAGAACTACAGTGAGCTGGCAGAGGCCTTTGGGGAGCCGCACTCGCAGATTGGCTCTCTGAACTCACAGCTCATTAGCACCCTGTCCTCAATCAACTCTGTCATGAAGTCTGCGAGTACGGAGGAACTGAGGAACCCTGACTTCCCCAAAATGAGTCTGGGTAAAGTCACAGGTAGGTGGCGTTCCCAGGGACCTGGGCGTGAGGAGAGGTGGGGATAATGTACTTCCAGGAGGTAGGGTTTTTTGCTTGTTTTTGTTTTTTTTTTACCTGCTGGAACCATGTTTTTGGAACCCTGGAGGAAGCTTCAGAATGGTAGTGCGTAGAGTGAACACCAAGGATCGAAACCTGTAAGCAGCTCTGCTGATTCCCATTGTCTGATGGTGTCGCTGGGCTCTGGCTGAGGACAGTGGCCAGGAGCAGAAAAGCACACGCTTGGGTTGGCCGGCCTGCTGGTTTGCTACAACGTCTTCTCGTTAGGTCCTTGCTCATTTTGCCCAGGACAGCCTGGGAAAGTCCCACTGCGTTTGTTACCATAGTTACCAGTACTTGATCACTAAAAAATTCTGGCATAAAACATTCTTAATTAAGGCTTTGACGAAGGGGGAGGTATTCCATTAATTCATGTGTTAATTTAGCAAACACTGATTGTCTTCCTGCCGTGTTCCAGGCATAAGGCCTAGGCTTCTGTCCTCACGGGGCTCACATTCCAGTGAAGGCACGGGCAGTGAACAGTAGACCTGAAATATGTCAGGAGGTAACACGTGCCATGAAGAAAAGAACTCCGGTTATAGGGAGGGTGAGTGGTGATGGTCAGGGTGGGGGCTTCTGGAGAGATGGGGTGGTCCAGAAAGGCTTCTCTGATGAGGACCTCCAGAGCCAGAGAAGGGGGCCTTTCCCACGGTTCATTTTGATAGGTGCTTAACATTTTTGTCTCTCTTCCTTTACACATTGGGATTCGGGCTCACCCCCCACCCCACCCTTTTCTTTAAACTGAAACTAATTGAGAAATTACCCTGAAAGATTTTACGGCATATAGTATTTCCCCACTGGCCTCGTTAAAATGACTTCCCTATGCATGATGTGTCCCTAAGTGGTCATCATGTCATCCTAGGGCAGGGCTCTGTTTCTGGCTCTCCAGCTCTCTCAAACCAGCATGGCCTGGAGAGGGGAAAGCCCCCCTTTTCTACACTCCTTTTGTAAAATGGGAATTCGAAGGGCACTGACATGCAGGGAGCTCAGGATAGGCCCTCGTAGTCATTGGTGGTGGTGCTCATAGCGCGTTGCCTGTGGCTTCTTTTGTTGACAACCAAACTATTGTTGAGGTTTGGGAAGCTACCAGAAACACATTCTCCACTCTGACCAAATGCCTCAGGTAAAATGAATGTCAGTGGTTCACATGATTTGTATAGTGCATACCGAATTAAATTTGATGTGAAAAGGTGTAGTCTATAGGCTGGTTACCAAACCCCTAACTAAAATGTTAAATTCCCTCTTTCCATTTACAGTCAAAAAGGTAATGGTGAAAATAGACCAAAATTGATTATTCTTCTATCTTCCCAGGTTTCTACTTCCACACCTGAATCGTTACTAGTTTTTAGTAGACATGCTGTAGAGCCGATAGCTTATCGTAGATGAAAAAAATGAGTGAGCTGATGTGTGTGTGTTGGGGGGGGGGGTTGCCTTTTAAAGAATCAAGTCCAGTAAATACACAGAGGGGTTGTGGAACCTGCTTCTCCCTCTGCCTGAGTCTCTCTCTCTCTCTCTCTATGTCTCTCATGAATAAATAAAATCTTTAAATACACACACACACTCACACATACAGAGGGGTCATTTTTAGGATAAATAGGGTTGCAATGACATGTGGACTGAGGCAGAGTCCTGAGTAACTAATAACATATCTGTTTCCACTTCTTTTTAAAAATCATGATGTCAGATATGAAGTCAAAATAAAACTCTTAAATATCCTCAGACACAGATGGTACAGTGCATCAGCCACTAGAAGAACGTTTTCCTGCCGGCTTCCTCCCTCCTCCCCAAACTGGGGTTTCTGTTTCACATTCCTACCAAAAATATTTAGCTGTACCCTTGCCGTCATCGGCCCGACACCCTGAGCATCAGGAACAGGGAGCGGGTTTCGTCTGGCTGCATCGCAGTACCTTGTGGTCCGTTTCCAGGCACACTGATGTTCCAGACATTGCTGTTTCGATCTGATGCTGCAAAGGAACATCTAATTAATCCGCTAAAATCTATGAGACCTGCATAAATATTTTTAATAGCATTTATTTGGTCGTGGTGGCAGCTTCCTCTCGGAGCACACAAGAATGATTTTGAAGTATTTCTGCAATTCACATTTGTATTCTAAGTTTTTTAAAAAATGGTTTTATTTATTTGAGAGGGAGCACATGCAGAGGATGGGTTAGAGGGAGAAGCAGACTCCCTGCTAAGCAGGGATCCCTCCCCCACCACCACCACCAATGCAAGGCTCGATCCCCAGGACCCTAGATTATGACCTGAGCCAAAGGCAAACATTTCACCGGCTGAGCCACCCAGGCGCCCCTGTATTCTAAAGTTCTCATGATGAAGGAGTTAGGTTTGGGCCTTCACCCAGAGCATTAAACTTTGATTACTTGGTGGTGGTTATATGGACCGAACATTAAAGCAGCTCGATCTAGTAGAGATTTTCAACACTTGGAAGCTGGGAAGAATGAAGGTGTGTCACAATGCACTGGGGCTTACTGGTGGCTCCGTACAATATGGAATATTGTTCCCACAGTCTAGAATACACTCCAAAAGGCACATAGACCATGAACATATTCTTCCCCAAATGAAACGATGTGGAATTGGAGTTTAACGTCACAGAAGAGCATATAAATGATCACTTTCGGGAACCTGGTGTTTTTAAAAGTTAGGTTTGGGCTCTGAAGCCAGACATTCTGGGTTCAGATTCTCTCTCTGCCAGTAGGACAAGTTGTCTTTGTTCCTTCCTAGGGTGGAAGTAAAGATTTAATGAGTCATTATGAGTAAAGCATTTGTAATAGTCTGCAGTACAGAGCGTAGATGCTCAAGAAATGCTGGTTGTCATTGCTGTTACTGTTTTTAGTACTTCCAGAAATGGAAATGTAGATATAGAACAAATTGCCAAAGATTGGACAGATGGTCTTTTGTTTTTAATCTAAATGTTTATCTTCATAATTCTGGCTGTCACCTTTCCCCCTCAATTTATTATGCCTCCCCCACTAATAGTTTTATCAAGATAAAGAAAAATATTGGTAAAAATGGGAAAACACAAAGTAAGTAAATTTTCAGTTCTGAGTCAGAGTCTGTATAAAAGCTAGAAACAAAGCTTACATTGAATTACTTGTATTTGTGCCCAATCCAGAGACTTTTCCTTAATTTTTCTAGGTTGGAGGTTTAGGGGCATTGCCTTTTTAAATTTTTTTTAAAGTAGGCTTCACTCTTGGGGTGTGGCTCAGTTGACAAAGCCTCTGACTTTTGATCTCAGCTCAGGTCTTGATCTCAGGGTCCTGAGTTCAAGTCCTGCGTGCCTAGCATGCAACGTACTTTTAGAAAAAAAGTTGGAAACTTAACCAACTGAGCCACTTGAGCACCCTAAGAAGTGTCCCTTTTTCATGGGCAAAAGAGGTTTTTTGTTGTAGCACTGTAATGCCTAGCACTCCGATTCAGTTTCCTAAAATTGTAACTGGATTATGTGCTTGTAACAATTTAATGGTTCAGAAGAGCATAAAGAGTGAAAGCCTCCCTCATGGTCTCTTGGGGTAACCTCTTGTGTGTTTGGTGTATACGTGTGTGTGCATGTGGCTCTATTTTAGGGATGTAATCTCTTTTTAACATAAGTTGAATCATACATATTCTTTCTATGTATTTTTCACATGACCAAAGATGCTCTCTACTTTTTTTCCAAAATATATCTTTTTTAAAATTTGAATTCCAGGATCATTAACATACAATGTTATATTTATTTCAGGTGCACACTATAGTGATTCAACAGTTCTATAATTATTCAGTACTTAGTGTATTTTTAATTTCCTTCAAATATTTCACCCATCCTCCCTTGCCCCATAGCCATCGGGTTTCTGTATTTAGTCTGTCTCTTATTTTCTTTGTTCGTTTGTTTCTTAAATTCCACATGTGAGTGAAATCATACACTATTTGTGTTTCTGAGACTGATTTCACTTAGCATTATACTCTCTAGCTCCATCATGCAAATGGCAAGATGTCATTCTTTTTTATGGCTAAATAATATTCTAATATCACATCTTTATCCATTCATCAGTCAAGGGACCCTTGGGCCACTTCTATGATTTGGCTATTGCTGATAATGCTGCAGTAAACATCAAGGTGCATATATCCATAGAGCACTTCTTGATTCCTCGTGGTATGAGTTTCCTGTACTTAATATTTTCTTTTATGGAATTACAAAGTTGAGGGGGCGTGCAGCCCAGGTGGCTCAGTGGTTTAGCACCACCTTCAGCCCAGGGCATGACCCTGGAGACCTGGGATCGAGTCCCGAGTCGGGCTCCCTGCATGGAGCCTGCTTCTCCCTCTGCCTGTGTCTCTGCCTCTCTCTCTCTCTCTCTCTCTCTCTCTCTCTCTCTCTCTTTCTCTGTCTCTCATGAATGAATAAATAAAATATTTTTAAAAAAAAAAGTTGAAAGGAAATAAGTTTCTATTCTCATACAAACCTTAGGAAAAAATGTTTATTCTTCCTGTAAATCAGTTGGATTGTTTTGGTTTGAGGAGTAAATTACTAAATTAATATTTCTTTCTTTCTTTTTTTCCTTTTTCCCTCTGGAGAGAGAAAAATCCTAAATGAATGACTTTCACTTATCCTAAAACTACATAACTCTCTCTGAACAAATGCAAACAAAACTATCTGTAACAATGTAACTTAACTGCCACAATTTATAGAAAATTAATGTCTTATACTCAGAACTGCTTTTTAGATCAGCTTCCATATTTGCACTCTCAGTTATCTTGGGTTTGTAGATAGATAGATAGATAGATAGATAGATAGATAGATAGATAGAATGAACTTGAAGTCCTTCCTATAACTGTGAAAGTGATTTGGTAGACAGAGATCTGAGCCAAAGCAGAATCAGAAAAATAAAGTCATTTTAGAAACATTCTTTCTAGTGAGTTTTCTCTCAGCT